GTTCACCGAGGTTGGCCTACCAATCGATCAAATTTGTACGATAAGCGGTTCATCCAGCTCGTGCTCTAAAAAAATGTTGAAAATGAAGTTGTATCTTCGATGTACAATCCTTAAACCACACAGTTGAAACAGCTAAAGTTATTATTATTTACCTAGTGTATCATCAAATTCCTGATGTTCTGATTGCTGATGACTTGTTGATGGTTGCGGCTCTTCAAACTTCCGAGCATGGCTTGATTCTTTTCCATCCGATCGCCTCTTTTTCGGGAGAGGTGTCCTATTGTGCACTAAAATTCCACGACACGATTCACAAATACGCATTGTTACATCCAATTGATGATCAAAGCCCCATGAATGTATTTTCTCTTTGAGACTTGATGATAAATTACGTAAATTATTGCGGCTGCAATTGGGATTGTTTATGTTGGCACTACATTGCACCCTTTTAATAATCAATTCAGCAGATTTTTCCATTGTTGTATATATAAACACTTTTTCGTTTCAACAACTATGCAGCACTACACTTTCAACAACTATGCACTACAGCAACTATGAGCATTGTTGTGATATCACCAAACTTAAATATTAGATTATGTCGGTAGAAACAGACTGCGCTGCTTTAAGTTTATACCTTATATCTCTCATGTGACTACCTGCGTTGTTATATAACTGCTATATAGCAGGTAACTTAACGATTATTTTAGGCATGCCTTAAATAATCGTTAAGTTACCTGCGCTATTATATGTATTCACTTGAGAGATGAGGTATAAACATATATGCATATTGCTTACTAATGGACACACCTAATACATAAAAATAAATGAATGATTATTTTTCTAATTAAATTAATCACAAATACATGAATTGAAATCTTTTCATGAATAAAACATACTAAGTGATTTTTACTTAGTTTACCTGTTGATTTGGAACAATTTGAGGGTGGTTTTATAGAAGTTGGATAGAGTGTATGCATATATTATAATACAATCCATCACAGGAAAGTGCAAACCATGCTGAGATGGCTGTTCCTCATTAGAACGTTTTGTTCTGAACTCTTATTGGACGATTTGCAGGTAACTTCTCTGTACCCTTTTCAAATGTTAGGCTAGATTTCGCCCAGATTATCGAAAAGTATACCCATAAAGTTTAATCGAATTTTAATAAGGTTGTGCGCGTATTACTATTCGACTTTGAGTGAAACACGCTAAAAAAAAATTAACATGAAAAAGTTGTTGTTCGAACAACTTTTTTTCCTTAAAAGCGCCCACTTTGCGATGTATGAAGAAAAGTTAGGTAATTATATTGCCTTTCATGAGAAAAAATATCAAGCAAATCTGAGGGGTACCATTTTTGGGAAAATGACTTTTAATTTTTAAATATATTTTTTTAGAGTGTAGAAACCGATTTTTTATTTTATTTAAATTATTTTATAAAATTTCAGATTATTTGCTAAAAGTTCGCCATACATCACTTTTTTGTAGGGCTTGTCATTTTTAAGCTATATCGATTTGAAAAAAAAATCGACAAAAACTTTGACCCTTATCAAATGTTAGGCGAGATAAATTTTGAAAAAAATAAGTACGCAAAGTTGCTTAAAATTGCTAAGCCTCCACACCCACAAAGTTCCATAAGGTTCTGAGAGGGTGCTGCCAACCACTGGATGAGTTGGCGTGAAATCCGTCCTATGCGGATTTGCTAGTGAAAAAAATCAGCCAGCATAATGTAAGCAGGGCATCAGCGTCTACCAGCATTTGCTAGTTGACTAGTACACTAGCGCTAGCAAATTCACACAGATGTAAACATTCCTAGAAGTGGACCACGGCGTGATCACCTTGACAACCAGTGATGGGGTCGAAGGAGACTTGGGTTGAACTAATACGAAACGCGGAAATTATTTATAAACACTGCTGATTTGGACGTTGGAGAAGGTCCTTTAACTTGAGGTAAGAAATTCAAATTAATTTGCAACAACCTTTTGAACCGCACACCTTCGACACGGAAGGTAGAGTAATGAATTTTGGTTGGACTTATCGAAAAATGAATCATGTTGAACCTATTTATACTGGCGCTAATTTAGTCCAAGAAAGTCTAATATACTTCTTCTAAAAGCTCAAAACTATAAAAAAAAATTTGTTTTAATGATTAAAATAATTTCGGTTTTATTGTATTTTCAAAAATAGTTCACTTTTAACTAATTTTTTCATCAACATGGCTCACGTTAGAACGTCTACAAGAGGAATTTTTATATACATTTTCAAAGTTTTTGTGCAGCATAATATTACTGAAAGATGTAAACTTCATGCTAGCAGACTATTATTGCCTTAATTTGACTAATTTATATTTGTATCATAGTTGAACCTAGTTCTTTCCTGCATTGGCCGTTCTGTTTACTTTCCTAGTCACAACTTTCTTTAACAGAGCATAGAGGAAGAAGATTATGATTTGAGGCATCGCATAATGGATTTTGACCCAAGTCTAAAACTGGCAACTTCCTTAGGGGTTTCGGGAAATTGATTGGATCCTGGCTATTTCTAATAACTGCGATTGAACTGGTTGTTGAATTTTAATGTGATTCAATGGTTTTTGACCATTTTCAGAAACTTCTCCGGGCGGATCGAAACATGGTCAGATGTGGCCAATGTGGCACTGGGCCCCCCAAATTACTACAATTGAACTAGTTTTTTTTTTCCTAATGCGGTTTGAGGTGTCACATGTTAAGTTTTATACGTTTGAGGTCGCAATTAGCCTAAAGCCTCATATAAACTGCAGCATGTTGCGGTCATATTTTCGGAACCGGTTGACCGATTCCAAAAAACATGTCCTCTATGTGACCATAATGCCTTTCATTTAGCGGCTGTCGTTTGGTTTTGATGCAGGTTCTTAAGCATAAAAATGGTTCTTTATATAATAATGATTCAAATTCATTATTGAATAAAAACGTTCAATAAATTCCTATAGTTGAAAATGCTATGATTCAAATAACAGACTTAGAGTGGTCATTTTATACTATAGACGAAGAGATGAAAGTATAGAGTTGATAATTGCGTCCGATAGTTTTCAGTGTGAAAATTGTATATAGAGACTAGATCTCATCATCTATCGTAAACAATTAAAAAAAAATATGTAAATTTAGGTGCTCTAAGACTGATATATACGAGCGTCAATTTTGACATAAAATTGAATCATAACAATTCATAAATTCAACTCAATCAAGCGTACTTTTCGTACTTACTATCAAAACATTGAACAGGTGGAGAACCTGAATACGATATTTTGCTCTGACTTTGAAATTCAATAACTGAATCCCCCTAATTTTCAATTAATGTTGTACTAAGCTCCTACTTATTGGAAAACAAGCGTTTGATTTGAGGAAAGTCACAGTATTCTATTTTACATGATTAGACGAACACGCTAGAAAGCACATAATAATGATGCATGATAGTTTCATGTTATGGTTGTCCTCCAAATTGGAGAGCAAAGAGGTGCTTAAACCCCGTGTGATCGTGATACCCCTTCCTCCCCTACTTCGCTGACTTATGAACCAATATTGTGTTCAATATTGAACGTGCCTTCTGATAAGGAAAACAGCTGCCTGTTGCGTTATCATAAAATGCAACCTTCACTCTCTTCTCTGCTTCAGAGACCTAATTTAAAGCTAATGATGGAGCTTCTTGAAAAAATTAACGTATTTTTTTGGCAATTGCATAGCGTCTTTGTAGACTTTACTGGGGTGCTACTCAAAAATATATAACGACTTGTCTCGTCAAAAATGGATGACATACCTACATCAATTTTACGTAGTTCTACGTCATACTGCAGTCGTGTATAGGACACAGCCCTTTAATTTTTTTTCAAAACAATACTTGATCAATCTGAAGTCTTGAAAAAAATCTACAAGACATTAATGAAATCTGCGATTAGCTAGAGGTCTTTAAATACTTCCTGATCAACCTGCCATGTAAAGAGAATAAATTTTCATCTAAATTTTTGAAGAGTTGAGATAATATTTGATAAACCTGAAGTCTTGAACCCACAGGACTTCATTGAAATTTTTAGCGTTGCCTACCTGTCGCTTAGAACGAGATTGTAGGATCGCTTTGCGAGTCTTACATCCCCAAAAATTGGATTTGTGGTTTTGACCACAATTTTAACATTTTAATTTCTTAGGATTTTCCTTCAAAGGACAGTCGTCCTTTGCGTGAGAGGAATCACCACAATTTATGCATTTAGCTGGCATGTAGCAATTTCTTGTTCCGTGACCCCATCCCTGGAACTTACGGCACTGGGTAAGATTTTATGATATTTTCTCCAGTCTTCCTAAAGTGTTCCCACTTCACTCGGACATGGAGCATAAGGCTTACTATGAGCGCTTCATATTCGCTAATCATATCTATGCTACGAAGCATGGAGAGAGCATTGGAGAAAGTATAGGTCTGTTAATCGCAGCGTTCGTGGTTTCTAGTCCAGTCAACTTCCTTTTTTTCGTCATTATTAATTTCTCTCACTTATATTTACACTCTACAATTTTCAGTCTCAAATTTTCTTGCATTGTACCTTAGCTCGCTATATCTCAACCTTCGTTCATGCGGTCTCCACTAACATCCTGCGATGATAATTGTAAGAAAATCTGACATCCTCCGCTTTGCTGTAGCGTTAATTCGTAGAAATTTACTTGAAAATACAATAACTTAAAATTTTTAGGGTGTTAGAACAATTCCAAGCAAGATTTCATGGCGCACTCGACTAGACTAGCATCCGACAATAGGTTACTTGTAAAGTATTTTTAATGTCGTTGTAACACCATGTGAACATTATTGACAGAAGCCGTAGATGTTTCCATCCAATTGTGTTATGTCACACCAATAACTTTAAGTAGTTGTAATCACCTTTCGCAGTGCCACAAACCCACCGGAGCGAACTGCGCCAATTCTGCACCGTCTCTAAACTTTGCTGGCAGAAAAAAAAAAACGAACTAATAAATCAATTACTGCTCACTTACCGATCATTAGAAACGGTGCCGCCAGATTGATGCCGATGAATTCGATGCCCAGGTACATGGCCAGCCCGAAAGCGGCCATCGTCGCCATCACCGCCGAAACGTTGCCCATCAGCCCGAGCCATGGTTTCGACCGGACCACGTCACCCATCATACACGTCACTACACTGTTTTATCCGGGAGAGAAAGAAGAAAGGCGTCTCGTTTGAGTCAAGTCGTGATTCGGTTCGCACACAACTCATGCGGTTCCTAATTTGATTTATTAGCCGCTAGAAAGACTTCAACGCGCGGCTAGGTGAGAAACCCTCGAATAAACTTAAGCGTCGTGCCTCGGCAATTAGCCTTGATTCCTGCCATGCCATCGTACTCACCTAAAAAGCGCCATCAGGATGAAGGTCGAGCTGAAGTACGGCACGACCGTTCGGGTGTTCTTTTCAAGTTCGTGATCGAGAGTACGCGACGCGAACCGAGCGACCGAGATATGCTTGAACACGCCGTTTTCTTCCGCGTAACCGACGGCGTCGAGAAAGGCTTCCTCCCAGGCGGCACCGCGCGCGTCCTGCCGTTTCGAGTCGGCCGTCACAAAGTACACCAGCTGAAGCGACGGTACCGAGATGATGATGTTGTCTTCGGACACTTGCGTCCCACCGAAAAAGACCGGAAAAACGTGCGCGTCCCACGTGACCGGGTTGAACATGACCGGAAAGGTTAGGTTCAACTCGCCGGCTTCCACCTGCGAAGAGGAATCACCCGGATGATTAATATGGTGTGATGTACTAATAAGGATGTTGGTGTGAAAAGCCACTTACCTCCCCGATGATTTGATCCAGGTTGAGGATGTCGTTGGTGAAGCACTCGTTTTCCCACCGGGCGCATGTCTCCCGGTAGGTGAACGTGTCACCATCGTACTGGACGGTTGCATTCTGGATTATCCCATCCAACAGGCGAAGCTCTTCCCAAACTTCGCTTCGCAGCAGATTTTTGTCTTCATCCTTGGCTATAACAATCACTCGACCGAAGCGTCCTGCACGGAATATGGGGTAAAGGAAAAACAAGTATTTTAGTACCAATGCAACTATCATAATCGCTTCGCATTAGTGGGTGTCATTGCTCCCGGTGGTGTCAAGATCCGTGTTGAGTAACCGATTACAATAGGTACATATCTGAGTATGCAAATATCAATAACATCTGTTCGCATTCGTGGGTGCGCAAGCGTGTAAGGTAATACAAATCATTGCACGGATCGTGCAATAAAACAGAATCGAGTGAGAGGGAGAGAGAGAGAGACACAATTACAATTACATATGATCGCGTTGCGCTGCACCGGTTTACCCATCCAACCGCCCAAGTCACTAATTAGGTTGTGTACCTTTACGAGAGGCGGGTATAAAACAATTCCATTCGAGGTATATTGGCTATCTGTGCCACTGCCACTGATGCCGCTGCTTCAGCCAACAACGGTGATCATGATGGTGATGTGGATGGAACGCATTTCATCTAATGCTAGTGTTCGTCCAATCGATCACCGCTGATGATCGTTGGCGTTAGAAATGAAACAGATGAAAATCGATTGTTGAACGAGGCGGATTTGTTTACAAGCGGTGTTGGGTCAAGATTAAATTAGAGTTTTTCATTTGTTTTCCACGTTTGTACAAATCGATTGTTGTTTCAAGGACCATTGGCGTCACGCTGAACTCAATTGGATGTGCGGTCGTTGAGCCGATGCGGCTGCGTTGATTGGGATATTTGCGAAATTGGATCATCGTAACGTGTGTATTTACCGTACACACTTAGAAATTACAAATTTTACACGAGACGTAATCTATATCAGACGTAAATAATGGAACGTAAACAAACATTTCATGTAAAATTAAGTGTTCTCAAACCGAAACATAAGCAAGTCACCGAAGAGAACATTTGATTGAATTGATTTTCTCGTTGCTTTCAACTGATTCTTATGTCAAAAGGGCCGCTTACATGTGTCAGTCTCAGGGAACCGAAATTTATACGACTTTTTCGTAGTGTGTAGCTACTTTCAGAACTGGATTCTCGTTTACGATATATCGTATATACGTATATCGTATATCGTGTATACAATCATGGGACAGAGTACAATTCTTAGGATCATCGTAGGGGTCGTCCTTGGTCAAACGCTCTGGAATGGAATGTACAACGGGGTACTGACACGTGTCGAAATTGTAGGTTTTGTTGATGACAACGTCTGCACGGTAATAGGCGAAATAATGGATGAACTATGTCAAACAACACATACACACTTAGCAAAGTTAATGTTAATTTAGGTGCTTTGAGACTGACATATACGAGTGTCACTTCGACACAAAATTAAGTTATAATAGAGTTTTTCAGATGCACAAGATATGCGTGGTCTTATTGCTTCAAACATGGATTTGTAAAGGAAAATCCTCGCAATTCAACCACGTTCTGAACACAACTTCCTCAAAGATTTTCGTAAAGAAATTGTAAGGACGATTTCAGAGCGATCATTTTTTTCCCTGCACACTTAGAAAAAATCATGTAAGTTTAGGTGCACTGAGACTGACATATACGAGCGTCAATTTTGACATAAAATTTAGTCATAATAGACGAGAAATTCAGCTCAATCAAACGTACTTTTCGTCGAGTAACGAACTTTTCAGTCTCTAAGCACTTAATTTTACATGACATGTTTGTTTACGTCTCATCCTTTATGTCAAAGATGGATTACGTCACGTGTAAAATTAGTTATTTCTAAGTGTGTGATTTGTTTTCCGTGCTGAGCACCAATGCTACCGACGCCAGGGAGGCAGCTCCCACACCTCGACCCTACCTATCGGCGCATCAACTCATGAACCGGCGACCAACGACCAACTTCCCTTCCGAAGGAAGGTGTGATCATCCCGGTGGCGCCAACGGGGATTGAACCCAGGCCTTCTGGGATGAGAGGTAATCACGCTTACCACTACACCACCGGCGCCGCTTCAGAGCGATCAAGAAGTACCAACAGCAAATGATCAAGGTGTCTATGAACGTGGAAGACCCATCACTTTCAACGCCGGAAGCATGGAAGCATTTCGTGGAGAAATTTAAAACAGCAGCAAGCTTGTCAATTCACACTCTGGAAAAAATTCCAAACTCTGCAAAGCGCATTCTAGCGATGGCCAATTTGAAAAAAAAGTATATTTTGAAAAAAAAGGCAACGTAGGCTAAGGAACTTCTTCAAAACACAGCGTATCTACAGAAATCTTTGTGATGAACTTGAGCGGAAAGAGGAATTCGATTTTTTTAGCGTCTGGAAGCAGTTCACACCAGGCGAATGAATTAGAAGGACATTTAAATACGTTAAAAAATTTAAAAAAGTAGAAGGGTCTGTGCCTAGGAGCACGAACGGAAGCTTGACGTAGGCCGCTAGTGGACGGAACAAATGTGAACATTTAGTTCTTTTAATTGTTCAATCATCAATTATCTTAACTCTTTCCGTCTTTTACTTGTAAGCGTATCAAATTTGTAGTATTTATTTCAAAGAGAAAGCTGATGAGGAGAATCCAATGGACAGTCAACTTGAGTATTTTCGATTCATCTACCCGACTTTAAAAGGTGTATTTAGATTTTTTTTGTTGTTTATGAATTTTTAAGTTTTGTACATTTTGGTATTAAAGTGTATTCAATTCACCCCTCACAGGATTTCCTTCCAAATTATATAAATGGGGTGGGGCGGAAAGTATCGTTTGTGCAGAATATGTAAAAAAGGAGGGACTTCGACAGATTGAACTCGTGAGAGCTAATTTTCTCACAAATTTGATTTTATTGGCTTTCTGGGGACTGAATATACACCCAAAGCGAATTATTGCCACTTCTCTCAAATTCTATATGGATTTTTAACACTTCCTACCAGCGTGTTCTGGAAAATGGTCGGACGATGATTAATCTCACCAATACATTCGGGCCTACAATTCCACACCTTCTGGAAGACATGTTGAGCCTTGCCCAAGTAACAATTTGATGCTTAACAAGTGTTGTTCAATCGATTTTAGTTCAGCCTTAGTTTGAATAATTGTTGTACATAGACCACGTTAACCTTTGTTCAGCTTTTAAACATCTAAATCTGGTGATTTTAATCAGCCGAAAGCTTAACAGTTATATAAATTATAAGCTTTTTAAGGCATTAAATAACAGTCTTTTCCAACCCTTGTTCAGCCTTCTAGTTCTATTTAGAAAAAAAATAATAATGGAAGACCGCTTCATATCTTAAATATTTTTATGGGACTGCAGCAAGGTGCTGATTTAATGGATGTACATATTTGTATTGTTATTATAAGTCTAAAAATTACCTTTGCATTACGGGATTCGAACCGGCAGTTATTGATTCACAGGCATCAATCATACCTACTGGACCACTGAAGCATATGTGTGGCAAAAGGTATGACCATTAACTTAAAACACGTCCAATTTAAGTTGAATTACAGCAACCGGAAGAGTATTATACAGCAATGCAGAATTGTAAACAACAATTGGCGACAGTATAATATTCCTCTCATTTTCAAGTGTAGTGAATACAATGTGGACACAAGTGCCCGATTTATTTCGATGTTCATGTGGAAGCTATTTAAGTGCCATAATTGAGTTATATATTTGGAATGCTGTTTGAAAATTCAGTGCAATATAGCAAGAAATACAAATGTTAATACTTCCTACGTCGTCGCAGCCCACTTCTACCAGCAGCTATTTCTAAAAAGCTCATCTACCTTGTATCTACTTCAGCCACAGCTTGGGATTAGAAAAGTAGGCAGTGAATTTGGAAGAGCTAAAATGCCGGAAATGCAACGAGCTATCAAAATATTTGTAGTGCAGTGCTGATTTGTGGAGTAGTGTTAAGCTAAATTAAGGCTTGTTCAATCTTTAGATCACCTAACTTATTGAGGTTGAATTATGAGGATACAATTAGCTTCAGCTTCAGCTTGCTGTTAATCAGCTTTGTACACCTTAAATCAACCAATAATCAGCTTTTGTTCTTACTGTTCAGCTTGAATTGTTACTTGGGTGATAGCTAGCTGCTTGCGGGAACTTAACCAATGTCCAAATAATACTCTTTAACAAATTTTTGGTGGTCCTGAAAAGGACCGTTTTGTAGTGATGGTTGCTCTCTTTCAAAACACGTCTCTTATAGGATCCCTCCAAGCAGGTTTCTTTAACCAACATTCAACGATGGATCGCATATTTACTGCACGATGTATTCTAGAGGGGAAGTGATAGTGATGGCCTTGGACATTGAGAAGGCCTTTGACAACATTAGCTTCGCTGCATTTCCAGATATTCTGTTGGTTAAAGGGGCGTCCGAAGGAATTGCAATAGAGTGATAAATTGTCTTAACGCAGAAGCACAACTGGTGCTATGGAATGGTCGGAAGATTGCTCCTCAAATGCGAACGAGAGAAGTGAAACAGGGTTTCATATTTGATCTAATTATGCTAGAGGTACTACTCACTGTTAAGAAAGAATTGGAAGTATGGCTTCAACGCAATCAAACGAACAGACTTAAGTTCCCGATTATCCTTGTATATGCGGACAACATTTTAATTATAGCTAGATCAGTGGAGGAGTTGGATAAATTGGTGCCAGTGCTTGAAAACTATTTAGGAGAGGTAAACCTCAAGCTTAATGAGGCAAAATGTAAAATCATGGTAAGGACACCTATTGGGCAAGCACCAACGGAACTAAACATAACTGGAACTCGAAAATAATTTTGGACTTTCTCAAGAAAAGGAAACCATCGGCGAAGTTAGGTTCATTGCTGTATGAAACTGTAATATCTCCGACGATGGTGTACGGAAAACAAGCCTCGGTTCTTACAAAGTGGTCCAATTTTGTTTAAAGAAGGTAACAAATGAAAATCTACGGCTAAGTTAAATCATTTTTTCAGACGGAAGATAACTCGTCGTCAAACGATCTGTAACGAAGTCGATTCGGATGCTCCAGTTAAGGTACTGGGACACATAGTAAGAAAACCTAAGAATCATCTACTTCAGCT